AGGCGCCCCCGGTTCCACACTATTCAAGCCAAAAGTTTTGGTCGGGGGGGGGGTCTATTAAACGGGCCGCCACATTAGTATTCGGCAGTGAGTGAACAACGAAGCAAGAGACAGGCGACACACACCACTCACTCGATGCAAAAGTAGTCAGTTTTTGCATAATTATTTCGTGTGAGCAGCATGTCGTCCAATCGCCCCCGTTTGTTGTTCAAGCCGCAGCATGTCGTCAGTCCCATGATTACGTTTGCATTTGGTGGGCATGGGGGGCGGCGTTGCACCACCACCCAACCCCGTTTCTGGTCTCTTAGCTGCGCCTTGTTGTTGGACAAAGCAAGGGGTTAAAGATAACAATCATGCTTCTTAATTATCGCTTGAGGGAGTATCACCCCATCTTCGCATCAGTGTTTGCAGCCCAAGGAAACGCGGTGTGACATTTGAAACTATAATTTACCAATAGCTTTCTGCAAGACGCGGCCCTGTAACTTGGAGTTCTCCATTGGCTTGCAGCCAAGCACAGCTCTGCCGAACCTGCTGCACCCGATTCAGCCGTTTGTTACTGATTCTTAACCGGTTCTTTGACGGTGTCACCTTTGATCCTTTAGGCCTGCGAGGCCAAGCCTTTCCTCTCCTCGACCCAGGTGTGGGTTTGGGCTGCGCTGGCATGACCAGCCAAGCGAAGGTCTTGGACTTCTTGGATTTCGGTGGTACCTGGGACCCATCATTGGCCTTCGTGATGGGCTGTGGCATCCTGGTCAGCGGCCCAGCCTTCCTTTATGCAGAGCGGGAGGCCAGCAAGCCTCTGTGCAGCGACTGCAGCTACGAGAAGCCCCCAAAGCATGGCAACTATCCACCGTTGATCTTTGGAGCCAGCTTCTTCGGGCTGGGTTGGGGCCTGATCGGGATCTGCCCGGGGCCGGCTGTTGCTGGCGTCATTCCTTACCTCGTGGACGGTGACGGCCCAGGCTTCTCCTTTGGCTTGTCTTTTCTAGTGATTTGCATTACATGGTTGATCACCGTCGCTTTTCTGAGAAGCATTGCTTTGGGTCGTAAGCACCTGTATGCCTGTATGCAATGATCTAGAGTCTAGAGCCTCCCATGTGGGCCTGGAAACGTTGGGCTGGCTGTGCTGTGAGGATCGCGTGGTTGTAAAGCTGGAGAAGGCGGCCGCCGCGCAAGCGCTGCCGAAGGCTGCGCAGCCTTCAGACCCCCAAATCGAGGACGTTCCTGACGTGAAGCAGGCAGCTAGGGTGTCGTGGGCCGGAAATCCCTTAAGTATGAAATGTTTGAAGCATGTGCTCCGTGGAGTATAAGCCCCACGTCTTGTGAGGCTTGGGTGAAGTCATCGGCATTCAAGGGGTGCCTGTGCCCTGGAAGGAAACGGTGGATGAGGAAAACATGGTCTATGAAGCGCAGATCTGATTGAAAGGAGAGGCTGACCGGGATCAGGTTTGGTTATTTTGGTATCTGATGAAACAGTACCGTGACTGGACTTGGTCTACTCTTACTACATCAAGCATCTATTGCCAGAGATTCGATTGTGAATGTGTGCCGTTTTGTGTAAAGAAGACTGCGGTCATGTGCAACACAGCCGCGGCCACATCTTTTATGTATCGTCAGTGAGTTGCTGCCGAAGTTGCAGCAGCACAGACTGGCACGCTTTTTAATGTCCTCAGCCTCGAGCTTCGGCAAATCTTTGTTGAGCAGCAGGTAAGGGCTTTGCTTTCGTGCTTCACACTAGATCGTGACGAAGTCATGATTGGTGTTCTGCTCCTCGCTCCACGCAGCAGCGGCCCATGCAAGCTTGGCAGTTTTAGCGGAGGGTTAAATTATGATGAGATTGCCTAACATGGATAACAACTTTCCCCGCTCAGGCATGTTCTGTTTTCAGTTTGTTTGGTGTGTGTGTGTGTGTGTGTCTGTGCCAGGATTTTGCACTTCAGCGATACACCGTTGAAATTGAGAAAGAAGAAAAGAAGAAGGAGCCATGACGCCACTGCTTCTGTTCAGTTCTACAAGGTGCATCACGGAGTGACTGTGAGGGCTAGGACGCTGCTCAGTTGAAACGAGACCCTGTGTTACCGTCACTTCCGAAGCCGCAAGGATGTTGAAGCTCCTGCGAATCCTGACATGTTCGGTCTCGGAGCCTCTGCCTCAGCTGCATGGCAAGGCGTCGGAAGTACCTCGGCCCCGATTTGAGCTGTCAGCTGTGATAGTGCATGTACTTAAGATGGCTGAACAGGATGTAGAAGACGAAGAAGAAGATGATGCGGAGAAAAACCAGCCCCTTGGAAGCACAACATCCACCGATGCGGCAGGTTGCAAGCATTCCTAAAGACTCATGTTCGCTTGGCAAGAAGCTTGACTCTTGCTTGCTTTCCACTTTCAAGGATCGAGTTGGCAGTCCCCAAGAAGCTGATGGTCGCATCCTTCAGCTGCACGACTGTACTGTGCGAAATGACAGTCCACCGGCACCTTTCCCCGAAGGTGCTGCCCAAGAATGTGTTGGTAGACTTGAAGCCTCCAAAGAGCCAGCTGGAACGTGTGATGCTCAGCTCAGACATGAAGCATCGAGCCCTCCATCTTGGGAAGCTTAGGCCTCGTGAAGGACTGGAACGTCTGGAGGAAACGGCCGCGATCTGTCAGTGCGAGCCAGGCCCATCCCACCGAAGGGATGTTCGGAGTCTTTGATGAAGTCTGCGAGATGTCCCTCGTACTGCTCCCCCCACCTGCCCACGATGCTCCAAGCCCTTCTCGACGAATCCCGCCACTTTACAAGAAGAATTCATGGTTCACGTGCGGTATGAGCGCCTGAATCCGTGCTGCAGGATGCGGAAGCTGTGGCTGCCGCTTTGGGTCCGCCCTTGGAGCGCGAATCCCACGGGTCCTTGTTGGCCCAAAATCTTGGAATAAGTGCAACACCTCTCCCTTTCCGTGACTAGGTCCATGGCGAACTTTCTGCAGGATGCCACGCAAGCAGTGGGCACCGGGTGCGCAGAGACTGTCCCGAAACCCAGCGTTTCCAACAGCAGATGCTTTCTGTCTTCGCAGGTTAGCTACTGGCCGAGATGGCGCCGAGCTCATCGCCGACGAGTGCAGACAGGATGGTGCTGCGTCAGTTCTGCTGCTTTCATTTTCGGCTTTTGAATCTAGCTTTCTACTCAGTTCTTTCCAAGCAAGTCAATTGACCAGAAGGAATATTGTCACGTGACAGAACACTGTTTTATCCGCATAGTCCACGACAGTGAGTGGCAGCAGGTGTACAGCGGGAAGGGGTATGACATGCGCTGGACTTGACCATGCAATGTATTGCAAGTTGTAACAAGGTAATAATGTAGTGCAATATAGTTTTTGCTGAGCGGAACAGCATGTTCCATGTCGCAACACCATAGTACAGTTGCAACTCATGTCACGAGATTTCATGGTATCATCAAGTTGTGGCAATGTACCGAAGAAGTATGGAACACCACGTACCCTGCAACACGGCACGACTTGTTGTGGTTCGGTGTAGTTGCCATAGCATCAGCGATGCATGTAAGGACGTAAGCATGTCGTGTTACAGTGCATATGTATGTGTATGTGCATAGCATGTGTTTGAACAGCCCGTGTTTTTTCATGTGCATATGTAACATATGGATGTACGTGCATTTGTGTGTGTGTGTATATGTGTATGTATGTATGTATGTATGTATGTATGTATGTATGTATGTATGTATGTATGTATATGTGTATGTATGTATGTATGTATGTATGTATGTATGTATGTATGTACATAATATGTAATGCGGCGTAGTGTAATGTAATGCAGTACAGTGTAGTGCAGTTTGGTTTTATGATATGGAGTGATGTGGCACGGCATCGCATGATATTGTATGGTCTGGTCTGTTCTGTATGCATGCTTGCTTGTATGCTTGCTTGCTACAGCGTGCTAGTATGCAGTCATGTGTGCACGGGGGCATGTAGACACAGTGTTCTGCATAGTGTTGCGCTCCGATGTCTAATTCTTCAGTGTCATGCATTTTTCCCTGCCATGGCATACTGTCGTCATGTTATCTGCTGCCTTGTGCTGCGCTGTTCTGTGCTGTATGCCGAGGTGCTATGTGATGCTAGGTTGCTGTTCCATGTGCCTGTGGGTCATTATGCTTTTGCTGTGCAAACCGTATGCGTGTTTTTGTTCTTTTGGATAGGCCATCTTTAGCTACATTGCTACGATATCTCACAGACATCATGGAAGCGTTCTCGCGGTTGTTCCGTCGTGATGTGACGCGGACCAGTTCAAGACGATGCAAGTAGTCGAAGCTTTGAGAGGCTCTTTCCAACGCCCGAAACCTCGCAGCCAAGCTGCTGGGTGAAGAGCCGCAGGCCAGCGAAGGTCTTTGAAGTCTTGGGAGTTTGCCAAAATCTCGACTTGTGTCCGGGATCATGCCGTGATGGGCCAGTCCAACTAAAGCGCCTCCTCTCCGAAGGAGCCTCCGAAGCCGCCGCCGTTGAACGAGCCAGCACCTGCTTTGGCGACGAGCTGAGACGTTCTGGTCACAGGGCGGATTCCGTCACCTTTCAGAACGGCACGTGATATCAAAGTGGAAGTTGCAACTCGTGCAACAGAACACGCACACCGTCATATCTCGGGGTTTCTGAAGCATGGAGACTGGTCGTAAAGTAAACATGAGACATTTGCTGATCTGTTCCTTTCTGAGGTGCCGTTCCAAGGTGAGACGGTGTCTCAGGCTGGCCTTCAATCTGTAATCTGTGACACAAAAGATAGTCGAAAGGATTTGTACATCACTAAGTATCGAAAGACGCTGCTGCTTCCGGTTGTCTTTCAGTCGTGCAGGCCTTGAAAGAAGCAGCCGAAGTTGCACAAGCCAGCATCGAACTGAACAAGGCCTTCCTTCGCAGATGGAAAGTTACAGTTCCCCCGTAGGGTATGCAGCATCGTAGCTTGTAGGACAAGAAGGAGAAGAAAAGGCAGGACCTTGCTGCCATTCTGGTGCTTGTGTTGTGATGATGTACAGGTGACGGGATAGCTTTGCTCGAGCTTCTTTGATGAAACATCCTCAACTGCTTTCAGATCGCGATCCAGAAAACGACGACGCAAGAAGTCTTCGTCAACGCCTCAGATGTTGGCTTTGGTGATGGCATTGACCGAGCATGAGTTTTCTCTGATCTTAAATATCTGCTGGTCAGGTCGAGCTCAAGCAGCGGCAAGAAGAAGAGGAAGAGATAGACCGATTTTGCGGTTTGTGTCAGTACCATAGCAGCGGAGAAAAACGTGCGCAGAGCGGCCGCAAAGTAGTGGAACTTACTGCATCCGTCAGCATGATGCCAACCACGATTCCGAGATGTTTTGAATCATTTTCCATGCATGTTCCATGATGCCTCCTAGATTCTAGAGTAGTATGCTTGAGTACGCACCCTAGCAGGGATCATGAAACAGAACTCGGAACAGCCCACCTGCAACATGGTCGCCAAACCCCTGCGCCCCAATGCCATCCGAAATCTTGCTCACAGCTACTGCCGCGAGTTGCAGATGGCACTACCTGAAAGTATCAGCATTGGAACATGCAATCTTATGGACATGAGCTTCCTCATCTTTATTGCTCTGTGCAGAAATAGTATTGACAAGCTCAGTCCTGTGAATATGTATTGTGTTTAATGCACGCTTAAAGTATGACAACAGCGAGGTGTTCTTTTCTGAATCACCGCATCGCTGGTTCAGTTACCCAGCAGAAAAGGCACTCCCGCAAAATCGCCCGCCACCTTGGTATCAAGCGCCGATCGAAAAGCTCACATGGCGATGCTTGGCAGCGTCCAGCTTGAGTGATGCCAACAATCAAAATCAATTGCTAGGCTGTGTTTCCCCAGGGCCTCTTGACAAGAAGTCGAAGACACTGTAATCTGGAAGCTAGCACGTCCTGTTGCCGCCAGGGCATCGTACGGTATCATACAGGTGATGCAGCATGTGGCAGGGAGAGTCGTATCATGTCGTGAAAGTCGCAGATTGTGGGCTGCTTGGATTTTTCGTCAACAGACGTCTTGTGAGCGGCTGATAACAGTGTGGTTCCAAAGTATGTCAATGCACAGATGTATGTCAATGCACAGATGAGCTCCCATTATCGCATTTTGTTTGCTCGTGTGAATTTGGTGTGGTGTATGCCAAGTGTATGTATTTATGTATGTATGTATGTATGTATGTATGTATGTATTATTGTATGCACGGCTATGTATGTACTTGTTGATATGTATATACGTGTGTATGCATGGATGCAGGTGTGTATGTACGTCATGCAATCTACTGCACTGTACCGTACTGTGGTGCACCACAGTGCAGAGTAGGGCAATGCAATGCAATGTAATGCACTGTAAATTCAATGAATTGCAATGCAAGGCAATGTAAAGAATGTAAGGCAATGCAATGCAATGGAAGGCAATGTAATGTGAGTGTAGGTAGACAGATGGGTAGATAGATGGTCAGATGGGCAGAGAAACCCATTTCTTGGCCAGCTTTCAAGACCGCTGAGGACCCGACGGGAGGTGGAAGGCTACGCTTCTACATCGCCTCAGGCGGCAGATTTATCCTGCCTCGGCGTCGATGACTTGCGGAAGCTCATCGACCGAGAGGATCTCGGCGTCAAGAAGAATGTAGGCGGGACTGGCAGACGGACCTTGGACGACATGCGTAGAGAGATGCTTGGCCAAGCTTCTATTTGGGCTGCATGTCTTGTACGTTTTCTTTACACCAAGAACTGACATCGGAACAGTCGCAGCTTTCAAGAACGACCTCGAACTTCCTCCAAGCATCAGGTGAGCATGTTTTTTCGGTTTCCATCGTAGTCAGGATCCAGCAAGCCCGTGCAAGACGGAATGGCATGGATTCTACTCTGGCTGCATCGTCTTCCTCGAGCATTGGGCTCCGCACCCTACAGCCTCAGAGCCTGGGAGCATGATGGTCCGTAAGCATTGGTCATTGTCGTGTGGCCCATGAGCTTGTGTAGCATCAATCTCAAGTCTAAGTAGAGTTGAGTGATCACTACCTTCAGGATGGTGCCCTCAGTGCATTCCACACCTTCAGTGTTCTCCCCAGCCAGCACGGCGGCTTCAACAAAATCATCAAACGCCGGTCGAAAAGTTCACATGGAGATGCTTGGCCGCGTGTCGTGTGAGGGATGTCATTACCACCTGCTAGCTTGCATCTCCACAGGGCCCCGTTAAGCAAAAGGCGCAGATGAGACAAACATCAGCTGTACTGAACAGTTTTCTGAGCTCACTGCTTGTACATGCAAGGTGCTGCACTATGTGGCAGGGAGAGTCGTATCATGTCGTCAAAGTCGAAGATTGTCGTCTGCTTGGATGTTTTCGTCAACAGACATCTTTTGAGCGGCTGATATGCATGGATGTAGGTGTGCATGTACGTCATGCAATCTATTGGAATGCACGGTAATGTAGTGCAGTGCAGTGCAGAGTAGCGCAATGCAATGTAAGGCAATGCAATGCAATGGA